TCTGGGAAGCGCATTCCATAGATTGGGCGCCACCACAGAGAAAGCCCTCCTCTGAGTACTCACCCTCCTAATTTCCTTCACAGAGGGTTCCCGGAGAAGGGCCTCTCCCGCAGATCTCAGGGGGCGGGCGGGCATATATGGATGTAGAGCTGTTTTCTTTGCAGAATGTGCCCAGACAGACAGCAGATGTGCCATGATCTGGTCCTTCTTTATCTGCGGGTCTGGTGGGACCCCTTTCGACCTGCCTGTAGGTCTCTGGGTGGTGCTTCTGATCAGTTCAGAATAAGACCTCCCTCATCCATGACTTAACAGAGGATGAGGCAGCTGATCTGGCATGCATCACCAAGACCTGGGTGGGCAAACAGGGAGGAATTAGTCTCTCCCAGGTATGTACACTGGAATCCTTGGTGCAGCATCAAGGGACTGGGCAGGACTGTTGCTATAGCGCAAAGGAATTCTATCCCCGTCTTTCTGACTATTAGTCTGGCGTGTTTGCATCTTGTGTTGAGGCAGAGGGACATAGTATGGATTCTGCTGCTGTACCGCTCAACAGACTTTCAGATAGGGAGCTGTCCTGGTTGTGACACTGAGGTCACCCAGATTGTTGGCTTTGCAGGATGTGAATATTTTATTTACCTTTTTTCATGGACTCCACAACAGCCATGGGACTGTCCCATGGCGTGACACAGGTAGTGAGGTGCACTCTGGATTTTTAAGGTGGGCATGGGAATAGTCATCTGAAGGTGGGAAGCTTTCAATTGATCTCTCCATCATGGTCTAATAACTACCTGTTGAGATTTAGGCTAATGAGAAATCCATCCCTCCACAACAGTGGGGGACCTATTAAAATGGTTGCCCCTGGAGGGTAATGGATCCAGATGACTTCCAGAGGGGCCTTGGGAATTTGTTGCTGATACGGCTGGCAGTTCTGTAAAATCCCTGGCTGATCCCTGAAATACAGAGACGCCTGGGTGGTTGATAGGATTGCTCCTGTGATCCTGCCTGCAGATTCTTGGCTTATGCAGCTCCTTGGTATACCCCAGAGCTGAGAGTGTTCAGACAATACTTATGTAGTGCAGATGGAGAAAATCTCCTAGTGGGAGTAGTTGAGCCCTGGCAGGTGTCTATAGTCAGGTTAATTTAGGGGCAGTGAGGGTGGCAAAGAAGCAATATTTCACTGTCTGTATCCAGTCTTCTATTTGTTCCCCAGCAGAGCTTTTAGGGTCATCCAGGGCTTATTATATGCCAGCCCCAAGGACATCTTAGTACCCACTGAGGTCTGCTGCAATATATTTGGTAGGTACTGCCAGGAAAAAAATTCTTGCACCCACCAGGACTTAGATTCCTATTTTGCTGCAGGTGATTCAGGTGAAATTCTCAGAGCACAGCTTGGTCCAGTTTTCTTGGATGAGCTTCAGTCAGTACGTGCAAGGATCTGGACAAGGTGCTTGGACATGTTCATGCAACTACCTCTGTACTGGGTCTTTGCCCCTAGCTAGGAGGGAATTGCTGGCTGCGCCTGGGAGGTGCCCAGTGCTTCTTCATGAGAGGCAGTGGTCCCACGCTGCCTTAAGGATGGTGAGGCTACTCCTAAGGAAGCCCTCTCTGGACCTGGAAGATCCAAATAATATTAGATCAGAAGGGAATGTTCTCTTCCTGGGCGAGGTCCTGAAGTGGGTGGTGGTCAATAAGCCTCAGGCACTTTTGGATGAGACTAATTATCTGACCCATTTCGGTCAAAGTTCAGGGCAGTTTTTGGCTCAGAAACTACTTTAGTTTCCCTGTACAATGGCCTATGTTGGGAGGAAGACAGGCACAGTCTGACCCTGTTGATACATCTGGATTTCTCAGCAGTCTTTGGCACCATTGACCATAGCATCCTTTTGGAGCGACTGCCTGAGTTGTGGGTAGAAGAGCCTGCTCTGCACTGATTTCATCCTATTTGGTGGGTTGGCTCCAGAAGGAGGTGCTTGGAGGATATTGCTTGGTGCCATAGACTATCCATTCTGCGGCTCCTCAGAGCTCGTCCTGTCACCCATGCACTCCAATATCTACATGAAATCACTGTGTTGGGTCATCTGGAGTTTTGGAGTGTGTTGTCATCAGTATGCTGATGACACACAGCTGTATTTCTCCGTTATCATCTTCTGCAGGTTGTGGATGTATTAACGGGTGCTTGGCTGTGAGAGTGCACTGGATGAGGGCTAACAGACTGAAGCTCAGTCCAGACAAGGCTGAGATGCTGTTGGTGGGTGGTTCCTCTGACCAGATGGAGAGGCTCAACCTGCTCCCCTTAAAGGATCATGTTCATAGCTTGGGGGTGCTCCTTAATCCACCCTTGTCCCTTGAGACGGAGGTGGCCTCAGTGGTATGACATCCTTTCTGCTGGCTTTGGATGGAGCCCAGCTATGCTCCTCTCTGGACAGGAGTATCCTGGTTTCAGTAATCTTTGCTCTGTTAATCTCTAAACTATGTTTCTGCAATGAACTCTGCATGAGGCTGCCCTTGAAGATGGCTGCAGCAGGTACGAAATGAAGCCATTGGACTAATAAACAGGGCCAGATGCCCTGCACAAATAAGACCAGTTCTGAGCTGCTTGCATTGATTGCCTGTATGATTCCAAGCCCAGTTCAAGGTGTGGTTTGAAAGCTATAAAGCCCCATATATAGTTTGGGATCACAATATCTGACAGAATGCCTCTCCCAACTACCATCTACCCAAACACTACAATCAACCTCTGTGACTTGCCTCCAAATGCCACCTTTGAGGGAGGCTTGGTTGGTGGCAACAAAGAGAAAGGACTTTTCAGTGGTGGCCCCCAAGTTATGGAACAAGCGTCCCACTGAGGCCTGCCAGGTGCCAACTTTACTATCTTTTCATTACCTGGTGAAGACTGTCCTCTGCCACACAGCATTGATTTAGTTTATTATGGCTTTGTTAGTTGTTTAATCAGGTTCAGTCAGGTTTGGGTTACTAGAATTTTACATACTTTTAAAATATGGTTTTAAATTTTGTGTGGCAACTTTTTTCCTTGATATTTTGTAACGTGACATAGTTTAGGTGATATTTTGATAGATTGTTTGTAAATCATCTGGAGAGCTTCAGCTACTGGGCTGTATAGAAGTGAAATAAATAAATACATACATAACTACAACCTGATGGAAAGCCTCTTTCAAGCACTGCTTGCCTATTGATAGTTACCAAATACGAGTGCATATTAACCATCTGTTCTAGCCATTGGTTATGCAGGGTTTTGTGAGGGGTTTTTACCTCTTCACAAATATGGCCACATGGTAAAAAGAACCCTGCTAAGATGTGCCCTGGCAAAGGCTTTCCCATGCTTATGTCCTTGCAGCGGGGCATAAGGAAAAAAATCCACACACAGGCCTAGAGCAATAACAGTATATAATTATATACATAATCTTTATATGTATTAGATTTGTATCCCACCCCATTAGCCATAAGGCTCCCTGGGCAGGTTACACATAAAATGGTACTGGCTCCACGCAGTCCCACCCAAGGGGGCAGAATGGAAATGCCCCGCGTGAGGGTGTGCCCACCTGCCCAAGGCTCTCCTTTACTAAGGATGCTGTGCAGAGCAAGACTGCCCCATGGCAGCTGAGCTCAGAACGAGTCAACATGTTCAGGGGCACCAGCTGAGCACAGCCCTCCCTATGGAAAAGCTTCACTGGTACCTCAAAATGGCCGCTCTGCTGGGGGGAGATTTATAAAATGCAGCACACAAAATGGCTGCCCTGTGGGGACTGGGGAGGGTGATAAGGGGCTGTATGATGATTAGATAGGGATGAAAGGAGTGGTGGTGGTGGGGAGATCCCCAATTAAAGGAAAGTGGCAGGGGACCCTGGAGAGAGAAGGGCCAGATGGGGGCCCTCCCCAAACTTTTGCATTTATATTAATTTCTTGTAAGGTCCTTTTTTAAAGGATGTAGGGATCAACTGGGCATCAAAGTCCAGAGCTATTATGTCCATGATCCTTCTCAAATATTTGGGGACCCTTCTCCATTCTGAAGTTCCAGAACTCAGCAACCACAGCACTCTGCACTGGGACTCATCCAGCTTCCCTTTAATCCAGAGGGGTTGTTCACAGTCCATGCAACTTCTCCACTTTCCCTGCATTTGTCCTTTTCTTACCTATGTTTCTTTTGCTCTCCCCTCACACTTGAGAACCCTGTCTTAGATTCTGAGAATATATTTCAAAATCAGACTGGTCTCACCCTGCATCTATGCCAGTTTCAACCCGCACCCCCCTTCTGTTTTCATGATCAAATATTTCTCTAAACAAATGTACTACACATGATCATTGTGTTATAGCAGGATCTCTCAGCAGAATTGATTCTGGCTGGCTTCCCCACCCCCCTTTTCCTTTGGGAAATCTTTTTGTAGTGCTTCTGAAACTGAAAGAGGCTCTTAATGAAGCTGACTGACACACCAGGCAAGACCGGTCAGGTTAGCAAAGCATCTGTGGACTGTGGCACTGTGATTATTCTCTCCCTGCACCCACCTCCCCAAATATCTTTGGTTGGTCTTAAGCTGCATTCCTTTTCTTCTCTGGGGAGCTTCTGCTGAGAGTAGACGCATGGAGTGTTTGTAAGTGGGTGGGTCCAAATGGCAGATGGAGCTGCCCAGCACCGCAGGGGTCAATTCATCCAATTCACATAAGGATGTTGAGTGAAAGCAAGGAGGAGGGGTGGGAAAGGGGGCTGGGACTTCCAGATTTCAAGAAGAGTCAAAAGGAAGGAACTGCTACATCTGATTGTGTGTTTGCATGTAAGAGACTCATGCAGACAGAAGGAACGGGGGAGAGAGAGAGAGATGACACACAGACTGAGTATGGCACTGACCAGAGCTGCCTAACAATCTGAAAAGAAGGAGCAAGAAGAGAGACACAAATGAGTTAAGAGACCTGGAGGATTTCCTTTCCTGCAGCAAGGGAGGAACTCTGACAAGGTGGATCCACATCAGTGAAGGCTTGTAGAGCATCGGAGGAGACTCTCTGCTTGCCCAAGACACTTTCTAATCCTCCTGTTCTTCCCCTGGCAGGTATGGAGTTCGACAATGACACTCTCAGCCACCAAGTCGTCGAGGACTGTGACTACAGCGACTGGAGCTCCTCCAAGATCCTCATCCCCACCATCTACTTGCTTGTTTTCTTCCTGGGCACCACGGGCAATGGTCTGGTGCTGTGGACCATTTTTTGGGGCAGCCAGGAGAAACGGCGATCTGCGGATACCTTTATCGCCAACCTGGCAGTGGCTGACCTGACGTTCGTGGTCACCTTGCCACTGTGGGCTACCTATGTCATCCTGGACTACCACTGGTCCTTTGGCTCTTTCGCCTGCAAGCTTAGCAGCTACCTGGTCTTTGTCAACATGTACGCCAGCGTCTTCTGCCTCACAGGGCTCAGCTTTGATCGCTACTTGGCCATTGTCCGCCCCATAGCGAATGCCAAGCTGAGGTCGAAGGTGAGTGGGCTATTGGTCACCATTGCCCTCTGGACCCTGGCAGCCCTCCTGGCCTTGCCTGCCATGATCTTCCGGAAGACTGCAGTACTCATTGACATGGACAGAGTGACCTGTTTCATGGATTACTCGAGTGTGGCGACCAACGAGACAGAGGCAGCTTGGGAAGCGGGACTGGGCCTGTCCTCGACCCTCATGGGCTTTGTGGCCCCCTTTGCTATCATGCTGACCTGCTACTTCTTTATTGCCCGCACCATTGCTGGCCACTTCCGAAAGGAGCGCAGCGAAGGACTGAGGAAGCGGAAGCGCCTGCTGACCATTATCATCGTCCTGGTGGCCACCTTTGCTGCATGCTGGCTGCCCTTCCACCTGGTGAAGACCGTCTACATGCTGATGGACTGGGAGGTGATGCCCTTGTCATGCAGCTTCCATGCTTTCCTCAGCAACATCCACCCCTACTGCAGCTGCTTGGCCTACATCAACAGCTGCCTCAATCCTTTCCTCTACGCCTTCTTTGACCCCCGCTTCCGACAGGCGTGTGCGGCCGTCCTCTGTGGCAGCGCCGGCCATTTGGCAGCAGCCAGTAGAGACAAGTCAGCCAGTTTTTCCTCGGGCCATAGCCAGAACCACCCCAGCAAAGGAGGGGAGCAGCAGCAGGAGAAGCAGTGTCCCAACAGCCAGGAGACTCTGCTTCACGGGTAAATGCCGGAGAAGATCAGGCGACCATGGAGGACTTTGGATAGAATGAGCCCCTCTTTTGCTCATATTGTGTCCTGTCTTTCAACGCTTCTATAGCCTTCTGTCTCTTGTGCTGTTGTTTCCATTAAAAACGACAGTCTGATCGCCTTCCCTTCCTTTCACTAGACTCTGCTGAGTTGCCCATTCTAACTGCCGCTTAGGGCACAATCCTATGCATGTTTTGGCAGAAAAAAAGTCCTAGCCCCCCAGCCAGCCTTGCATTTTTCCTAGATTGCCCCCTTAACCTTAAGGGATTTCTTGCAAAGATAGGCAAAGCTAACTTTCCTAAGAGCAGTTTTAGCCATGTTCTTTCTTTTGTATCTAAAAATGGTATATGGGCTGTATAAGTTCCAGTGCTGAAACCGTTTCTTTCATTCTTTGCTGTGTTTATTGCCCTTGCATGTTTTCTTTAAACTTGGGTTCCCCATGCTTTTGTTCCTTATCTGTACAGTAAGAAACCAGGGCTTCCTACAAGAGCAGGGATATGGTACACACACACCTCAACATGAGGCGACACTGCAATAGGGCAGCTGCAGGAAATGGGTGGGAGGATGAGAGGCACGCAGCCCTGAGTTTTGCAAGTGGTGATCAGTTATCCTGCAAGGACAAATCCCTCAAAAAATACAGTGTGTTTCCTTCTGGAACACAGGCTCATCTCTGAGAGACATTTTCCTGGAAGAAAGTCTCAATGAACCTAAGCAGACTCACTTCTGAGCAGGCATTGCCCATTGTTTGCTCAACCTGAGCTTCAGAAGACTTTTTGTGACTTCCAACTGAAATGTTTAGTGAGGATCCATGCACAAAGCCCCACTAAATCAGTGGGATTTACTTCCAAGGAAATATGGGCAGGATCATGCTATTGTCCAACCTATCCAGAATATTTTCTGTCAGACCTTCTCTCTGCAGCTGGCTGGTGGCATTTTAAGCTAGCCTCACTGCATGAGTCAGGATTCTTGTCTCAGGAAGTTTCCCAGCCCACTCTCTGCCCTTGGCCCAGTCTTCCAGCCACCAGACTCCTAACTGCAGAACTGCCAGAGGCTTTGTTCCTTCCGTGGGAAGAAACTATATCACCACTCCAGAAAAGCGTATGTTTAATATCCAGTACTAGGATTGGCACCATGGACAGAAGGCTCTGGGCCTGCTATGATCTTTATTCTTCCACAGATGAAACATGATTCCTCAATTGCCCTGAGAGATTGTGCTTCCCTTTCTTGTTGTTCTCCTGGATTTTCCTGTCCCCTTAAACTCCCTTCTACAGGTTTCTTGCTAAGCAAAAAAGACTGTGAGCTATATTTTTTGCATGGATGACTTAGCAGCAGCATCTTCTTGGTTTTCTAATTTCTTTTGGTATAATCCCTCAAATTTTACTTCTGTTCTTCACAGTTCACTGGGAGCTGGTTTCTCCCAGCATGGGAAGGCATGGACATAACACCTCTCTTTTGCAGGAAACCTAAAGAGAAGTGAGAAAACATCGTTATACTTGTAATAAGTGCCTTGTTTTCAGGGTGTTGGGTCTAACATGCACCTTGGCCATAAAACTCTTTGTGTTTATTCACCGGTTTAATGTATGAAACCATGAAGCAAAATGTTCTGAGCTCTTCTGATACTGTGGGAGCTACCTATTGGGAAACACTCCATGTAGGGAAATCCCTTCCCCAGTCTCATTTTAAAAAGTATTCTCTGCTGTCAGAATACTGGCCCCCAAAATTTTCAATCTCTTTGCCATTATATTTTTATATCCTAATGGTTTTTGCAACTTTATTTTCAATTTCTGAAACTTTTTATTTAAAAGTTTTGCTGAAGTTTTCAAATGTTGGGAAATGCTGTAAAATGGAGGACAGCTTTTAACAATGAAATATTTTTATTGAAGCAGAATAACAAGCTGGGAATTGAAAACATGTTCATATTTAACCTCTAGCAACAAAAGTATTCATTGTTTTTTATTTGTATAATCTAAATTTATTTCCAGTCTAGGAATAGCTCAGATTCTGGGACTCCCTCTGAATCCTAATATACGTTGTGGAATTATAGACTGTAAAATGCTGTGAAATCTATATGAATGCTGTCATTTCTGTATATGTGCATAGGTGTGTGTGCATGTTATTCCTTTACACAAGTCAAAACAAGACAGTCACAAAAATGACTATGCATTCTTGTGCTGAAGGGAGCATGTTGCTGACTGGAAGTGAGGTATGCATTTGACAGAAACAAATTTAAAGCCTTTCTTGGATTGTATCATTTTAGGATGCAACTGAGAGTTTTGATGTTAGAACAGTACTCCTTCCCTGGACATAGAACTTCATCGAGAAGTCAAGGTTGAATCCTGCTTCCTGCCATGCTAAGTTTTTAGGTACAGAATAAGTTTTTAGATGGGTGAATTCAGATGTGAACTGCAATCTGCAGCTGGAAGCCAAATGGTTCAAGGAAAACATTATCATGTGTGTAAAGTGTTGAATGTAGAAATGATTCAGAGGGAGATATAAAATAATCTTTGGTGTGCTGTTCCTTGTTCCTCTTCCAAGAACACAATGTAGAAGAGATAACACAGCATTTAGGATTTATTATCACTACTTTTTAATCATGCATGCATATGGAGATACAAATGTGCTAAGTGATGAGAGATTAGGCTAGATTTGCTAGGCAAAAGGAGCAGAATAGTTCTGGCTCCCAGGAGAGAAACAACTCATCACCAAAACTAATGCCAAGAATTAGGCAGGAAGGAAGAAGCGTAAAGAGATTTTTCACACACCCTAACACTAAATGGACTTGGCAGCCCCTTTCTGCTTTTATAGTGCAGGTGTGAATGTGGTCAACACAGGGTAAGAAGAGCTAAAGCCAAATGTACCCTGTGGGCTATATTTCTCACTTCCCTAATGTCACACGCTCAGTTATGGTGAGATAAGAAGTGGCCATCTCCATCTGCAGCTAAGAGTCATGCCATGTCTTTAATGTGTGTGTGACCTCAGTGAATCTTTCATCTTTCTAGCTCAGAGTTATCAACATGGGTCTTCTACAAAGGTTTCAGTTAAGGGGCCTTTCCAGCACTACCTGCAGATGCTATGGATTCAGCCTAGAACCTTTTACATGCAGAATTTATGCCTATCCACTACATTACAACCTTTTCCCTAAAAGAGCCTCTCCCAACCCTGGGTGCAGAGATGTTCTTGGGCGCTACCAAGACCACCATTCCTGACTATTGGCTATGCTGAATTGTTGGAAGCTTGTTTCCCCGCTTCCTCTAGCCCTTGAAGAGACCTCCTTAGCCTGATTCCCAGATCTAGGCACCCCACTCAGTGGATGGTGAGCTGAAACTCTCATAGCATGCCTGTTCCAGGAATAACCAGAGCTCAGCTGACATCATGTTCATAAGCAGAGTATATGTGGATTAAGAGATGGAGAACAGAAACCACAAAGGAAATGGAGAGTCTGCCACATGGTTAACATATGTGCCTTTAGCATTCATTAACTGATGAGTTCTCCTTTGTTCAATACCTAAGTTTTGAAGTCCAGATGACACTGAAGAATACCTTCTGACAGTAAGCAGATACACAGACAAAAATGCTAATGATTGAACGCTAATTCCTAGTATAATGGTGACTATGATCAATATGATTAAAAAGATTACATGCAACAGAAACATTGCTAATCTAATCAAGCAGACCATTTCATCCAGAGCTGCTTACTGCAGCTCCTGACCAGTCTCCTGAATGAATGGTCAGTCATGCTTTATATTAAGTTTTGCCTTCTGCAGCACAGCGGTTGTCTAACAGGCTCCTTAAAGGGGTGCTGCCTCAACCCCCCTTTGTGCAGCTACCCCCAAATGGCTGCTGTCTACAGCAACACTGCACAAGATGCCTCTGCCATTGCAGTTGCTCAACACCCACATCAGAGAATTCACTTTGCCCACCAGATTGGGTATTGCTTTCACTGAGACAGCTACCTCCAAGGTCAGTGTCACTTCACATCCACGTCAAACACAGAGTCTTTTCTTCATATAAGTTGTCACACAAGTGCTATTGGCAAATAAACCTTATTCTATGTTGAAAAGACACTAAAGGCTGGAACTTGGAGCCCAGCACTATTTGCAGATGAGGCTGCAGCTGTAAACTGACACACACGGGAAGATGGAGCACTTTGCTCAGGGGAGGGATACAGGCACAACTCACTTGTTCATCAGACCTTTTGTGGTAACACGGTGGGCTGAATGCTTGGCTTTTCCCCTTTGGGGCAGAGGAGAAACAAATGCAAAGGATCTTGGCCCCCTTTGGCGCACTGAACCACTCCCAGAAAACTTGGTTTGCTGATGACTGGAAGGCCAGGGGTGCAATGCAGAGTGCAGCAAAGACTGCCAGGCTGCCCGGTGGATTGTAATTGTATATAACAAATAAACAAAGCTTGATTAATCAGTCTCTGTTGGGTGAATTCTGAATAGTGATCCACAGGAAACATCTAATGTACCGAGAAAGCTGGGATAGATATGTCCATCTGAGTAAGAATAAGCCAGTACAAAAAATGCATATTTATGTGGGCTGAAGGGAGAAGCAAGTTGGGAAAGCAGATGAGAGAATATAGGCTCCAGAGTCAACTGAGAGTTGTGGTTCCTTTGGGGACTTTCCAGGAGATTCCTGGACCAATGAAGAATCTCTTCTCTGCAAGGGTGGCACTTGAGAAATCTTCTCAAAGGAACAGCAGTCTTTGCAATGATGAGATTGTGCACTTTGGCCTCTGTGAAAAATTACTTTGGTATCTGTCAATTTGGGGGAAGGGAGCTTCTTGATCCCTTGGGGATGCACATGAGTTTTAAAAAACTATACTTTTTTTTTGGAGGGGGTGTTCCTATTTCTCAAAGTTTTGCCAACATGAACAGAAAGTTTAAAGATACCCTGAGAATGAGAGGTGCTAATTAAAGTGTGCACATTTGTTATCTCTGAATCTAAATATGGCATTTCTTGGACTTAAGGAAAATATAAGTTTTAAATTAGAATTCTCAAAAAAACTTTGTAGGGCATGCTAGGAGAACTCATGACAAAGATGCTGACTTATTCAATGTGTTTGCTACTGCACTGAGGTGTTTGAATGACTGACACATAAAGTATCATGTGCA